AGATAGATAGATAGATAGATAGATAGATAGATAGATAGATAGATAGACAGACGATAAATCAGGGGTCTTCAAACTTGACAGCTTTAAGACTTGTGGACTTCAAGTCCCAGAATTCCTCCTCCAGTCATGTTAGAGCTCAAGAATTCTGGGAGTTGGAAGTCTACAACTCTTAAATGTGTCAAGTTTGAGGAGCCTTGTTCTAAGATGATAAACTCGGGGTGATAAACCTTTAGACAAGTGCGTGGAGCATCATGAATTCCGGCCAGTGGGCGATGCGACATTCTGTCAGCTGGTGCTCCATTCAAAATCCAAGAAAGAAATACTGACTGACTGAAATACTGACTGAAATATTGACTCTTTTAATCAGAGAAAAGGTATCTTTTACTGGAAATCGAGTGGTAGCAACAAAAGAACTCTGAATCTGAGAAAATGGGCGCGTAAATCACATATTTACATAAGTAATGGCAACATAATGAACACATTCTATGGGAAAATCATAGAAAAAACTGGCAATTTCCAGGAAGAGGATGAGGAGGAGAGACTTTTGTGAGATGGGATTGGCATGGTGCTGTGTGGAGACCTTTATGATGCGCCCAGAACACATCATATTAAGGCTCTGTTCATATTTGAAACCAGCCCAGGACTTCAGTTATTTGGGTTTTTCTCCCAATATGGAGCTGGAAGTGCTATGTCTTGGCATTTTGGCTCTCCAGAGATTTATTCTACTTCTCGGCAAAAATTCCCCCTTGATCTTAGTCTTCTTCATTATATGGAAGATCCTGAAAACGTTCACGGTGTTGCAGGTGGTTTCTGAGGGGCTCCGAAGCAGCTTGCGATGCCTCTTAGATCCCTGCAAATGGTTCTCCAAGATGGAATCGGTAAGTTTTTTAGCACGCCTATCCCATAGGGAAGAGGTCATAGGGAGGGAGAAATGTGACTTTTCTTGAATTTGAGACCTGAGCCTCGCGTCGGTAGTTGAGTCTGATGAAGAAACTTGGTGTATAACAGAATAACAGAGATAGAGTTTAATTCTTTCCTCATCAAAATCCTCCTGTTTATATAATTGTCCATAAAAGTCTTGGATAATTGTCTTTTTCTCCTTAATACCATAACACATTTGGCCTTGATCATCTATTAACTGTACTACAAAATGCTAACCTACCCAAGATATCTGAAGAGACTGAAAAAATGTTAGAAAGTAACGTAACAATGATGGAACTAACGGAAGCATTTAATAGGCAGAATAATGGAAAAGCACCAGGGCCAGATGGGCTCTCGGCAGAATTTTATAAAACAGAGTTGGAAGGGACCTTGGAGGTCTTCTAGTCCAACCCCCTGCTCAACCCCCTATCCCATTCCAGACAAATGGCTGTCCAGTCTCTTCTTAAAAACCTCCAGTGATGGAACAGCTACAACTTCCGGAGGCAACTTCTGTTCCACTGGTGAATTGTTCTCACCGTCAGGAAATTCCTCCTTATTTCCAGGCTGAATCTCTCCTTGTTCAGTTTCCATCCATTGTTCCTTGTCTGGCCTTCAAGGGTGCCTTGGAAAATAGCTTGACCCCCTCCTCCTCCTCTCTCGGTAGTCCCTCAAATATTGGAAGGCTGCTCTCCTGTCTCCCGTGGTCCTTCTCTTCCCTAGACCAGCCTTGTGACCGTTCTTTATGTCTACTATAAGAAATGTTGGGCTCATTTGTGGTTGTAAGTTGACAACTACCTGAACTTGACATATATGCCTGGCAGGAAGGTCTTAGAAAACAATTGTGAAGTTTCAAGGCCAAATTGTCCATCGGTGACATCGATGGCCATAGGCACATAGTTAAATCAATCAATGTTGGATAGATAAATGGATTGTAAATAAATAGGGATAAGCACTAGATAAGTTAATGAATTATATCCGCACAAATTCTATATATTTGTAAAGAATGCACAAAATGTTAGTATGAGATGAACGTCACAGTTGATGTTGTTAAGATTTATATTTTTGTTGTTTGTCTTTTTAAAGTTATAAAAAATTAAACAAAGTTTATTTAGTTCAATCAATCAAAATAAAAGATACTGTTGACATCATACCATCTGATCAAATCCAGCCTGAATAGCTGGACTGTATTTCTGTGGGGCAGAAACTTGGCCAGTTTCCTGGTGGAATAGAATATTACAGAAACCCGGATCCTTCCGTTAGCCTTTGGTGTGTGGCTGTTTTGAGGATGAGTCGAAGAGCTTCAAACCACCTCTGTCTCTTGGACAAAATATACTTCTTTTTCTTTCTTTCTTTTTGTCTCTTTGCAGGTCCAGCAGAAAAGTGAGACCAGCCCGCAGGAAATGAAAACCATCGGAAGAGGTTTAAATTCTTTCCAAGCATTTAATCTACCAATTTATTTCTTTTCTTTTCTCTTCCCTTCCCTTCCCTTCCCTTCCTCTTTCTTTCTTTCTTTCTTTCTTTCTTTCTTTCTTTCTTTCTTTCTTTCTTTCTCCTTTTATTTCTTTTTCTTTCTTTTCTTTCTGTATCAGATATGTGTCTGTCTATATCTATCCATTCATCTTTGTCCATCTTTTATCTATATATCTACCCATCCCCATCATCTATCTATCTATCTATCTATCTATCTATCTATCTATCCATCCATCCATCCACCCACCCATCTATCTTCCCATCTTTTATCTATACATATATATATCCATCCATCATCTCTGTCCATCCCTATCATCTATCCATCCACCCAGCCAGCGGCCCATCCTTTATCTATCCATCCATCCATCTTTGTCCATCTTTTATCTATATATCTATCCATCCATCATTTCTATCCATATCTATCTATCTATCTATCTATCTATCTATCTATCTATCTATCTAT